ACTTCAGAAGATGAGAAGATGGTGTTTAAAGACACTGTGCATGTAATTTACTGTATTACTGCAGGTCTGCCTTCTAATGAAATGCCTCCTAGTCTAATCCCCCTGTTAGTGTAGCTGTGTTTCCTTGAAAACTGAGAGCATCTTGCAGCTCCCCTGCGGGTGCTGGGGTGCCCGGAGCAGATCAGGTGTGGTCTGGGAATCCCAGTTCTGCACTGTGCAGCCTGCCTGTCACCGAGTAGCTCAGTGAACATTTCTTTTAAGGAAAAAAAAGTTTATTCTTCCCCCATGTGAAGCACAGATAGACTGAGCCAATACATGATATCCCAAATCACTTCTCATTTATTTTGGGAGATAATATACAAAGTTACATAAGCATCTTTTGAGAAATCTGTGGCCTTTGTGAAAAATTAGATTAAAATCGACAAGTAGAGCCCCCTTGTTACAAAATGATTCTGAAAGTGTTGTTCAAATGAAGAAAACATGCATATTTGAAAACTGACTTTACATAATATTGTGTTGTATTTTCCCCAAGAACTCTGGTATAACTTTAATTCTTATCTAATTAAAATTTGGGGGAGGAGTTTCAAGGAAGAAAACATGATACTTCAAGCTTCTTTATAATTAACTACACATTCAGTGGTCAGTGGAAAATGAATGGGTGTGAATTCTGAGTTTTCCTCTAACCAGTCTGAGGCTGGGCTGAGTGTGGATGACTATTGCCCTGCCTGAGGTTAGTCTAGAAGAGGCCGTGACCTTCTGGCTGGTGGAGTGGGATGGGAAAGTCAGCCGGTGGGCCTTCTGGGAAGGGTCTCCTCTCTGGTAGAAAGTGCCTCCCAGCAAGCTTTTACTGGACACTGCAGTGTCTGCATGTGGTCAGCTGAACTCTGGCAGCTCAGCTTGTGACCACAAATAGAGGTGACGAGGACAAAGCCACAGACTCAGGACCGCAGAGCAGAAGGCCGGAAGACTCCTGAGTCCTTGAGGAAGGTGCTGAACCGGTCTCCGAACAAGTCCGCCTCGTCACTTGCAGCAAGAGGGTAAGGACTGCTGGGGTGCAGCGAGCGCCCTGGTCTGGTCCCGTTCGTCTCATCCCCCGGTTACATGGGCCACTCACGCTAAGTTAAAGCATCAGGACCCTTACTGGAGGCAGTCAGGTGTGTTTTGAGAAATGCTCCTAAGTGATTCTTCCACGTTCTTATCTTTCTTCTAATTCTTTCTGCCTTTCCATTGGGAACCTCTGGAGCAAGGAAGTTATAAAACTGAATTAGCAGAACTTGATTAATGGTTGATTATGTGTGTGTGGGGTGGGGGGGCTTAGGGAAAGGGAGAGGTCTGGACAGCCACCATGGGCTTGTGTGTGTACCTGGGGTGGATGGTGCTACCTTTCCCGGTGATAAGGAGTATACAGCTAGAAGAAGGACTTCAGTTTATTCTTTCTGAATTTGAGGCAGCAGAACACTCAGAAATAGGTACTAGGAAGTAGTTAGACGTGTAGTGCTCGAGTTCACAGAAATATCTAAACTAACAAGGCCGAGGAATTTGGGGGTTGCCGTTGAATCCGTGGGTATAGATGGTGCTGGGGCGGATGTAATTCGTGAGTGTGGAAGAGAGGGCTGCAGGCAGCTCAGAAGCTTAGCATCTCGGTGGAGAGCTGGGGCAAGAGCAGCGAGAAGAGGGAGAGTGGTTACGGGTTCTGACAGAGATGCATCTCTTCGCCTCTTAGAGTTTGTCAGGGAAGTTCTGGGACCTTTGTAGTTACTGAACTCTAGTCAGGAGGTACCCTTTACGTCTTTCAGCTCTTCTTTAAAAGCAGATTCTTAAATGCTCGTTTCCGCTTTTATTTGATGAATTTATATTGTTCAATTGTAACCACATGGATCAAGAGTCAACATGCCACTCTTCCAACAAGCCATTCACCCTCTCCTCTCAATTTGATCATAATGCTTATGCGCACAGCACAATGTAAACATTTTCAGTTATTTATTTTCCAGTCAGTTTATTTGTATAGTAGATGTGTTGTTTTTAGGGTCTCTGCATATATATGTAGGGCTTCCCAGGTGGCGTGGTGGTAAAGAATCTGCCAGTGCAGGAGATGAAAGTGTCACAGGTTCGATCCCTGGGTTGGGAAGATCCCCTGGAGAAGAAAATGGCAAGCCACTCCAGTATTCTTGCCTGGAAAATGCCATGGACGGAGGAGCCTGGCGGGCTACAGTCCGTGGGGTCGCAGAGTCAGATACAACTGAGCACATGAGCACACATATATAATTGCCCCCCCTTTTTTTGCTGTTCATAATTTCATATTCTGTGTCATTCTTTTTGTTCCTTCTGTTTTTAACATTTGACATGTTAGTCAATGTGTTCTTTTTGTAGAAAAATATTTTAGAGAATTAAGAGGATTTTGAGAACCCAGATAATTTTTCTTGCTTAAGGAAATTAGGTATTTCATGAAAACCAAAGCCTATATGGATGGAGAAAAGGTAACTTTTGAAGAGTATTACCTTTCAGGCAATCTGTGGGTACCAGTCCAGAAATGTAGGGGGGGAGGTGTGTGTGACGTGTGCACGCCTGTGTATGTGTGTGTGGGCGTGTGTGTGTATGTGTCATGTTAAGAACACTGTGTGGAGGAAATAATAGAGTTTATGAGCACTTCTGAATCAATATAAAAGTACAGTTTTCACTTCACACCGTTGTTAAAAGGGTTCAGAACGCTGTTTGCATGTATTCCATTCCCCCTTCCCGCTGCCCCCTCCCCCTTTTCCCTTCCAGCCTGGGTCTGAACGGCACCTGTGATTAAGGAGGAGAGCCGAGCCCCGGGAGCTAGGTGGGACCGGCGGCCATTGATCTGCGTAGGCCCGGCTCATGCTGTCAGGGGAGGAGCAGTCAACTGCTGGGCTGCTTTGTCACTGACATGAGCTGAGAGGGGATTTTCTGTCTGTACTGTTTATGCACTAGTCTATAGACCTGCTGGCTGGTTGAATTTTAAAGAGCGCGGAGGTTTAAAGACTTGTCCCCTGAGGATCGCTCCTGCCAGTTGGGGAGCGAGCTCAGGCTGCTTTGCAGAAGCGTGTGCGTGCGTGTGTGCGTGTGTGTGTGTGTGGCTTGTGGGAGGGGGGCAGGGGCAGGGTGTGAACTATTGAGCAGCTAACTGGGAAACATTCTTCGTTGGAGTCTTAAAATCGATGTGCAGTATATTATTGATTCGGGTATATTTGGAAGGCAACAATGGATTTCGAATATATATCTTTATTGTTACAGAAATGATATGAACAGCTTTGTGGCAGCGGTCGGGGTTGGGGGGGGAGGTGTTATAAATACGAGAAGGCTTCACTTTTTGCAGCACAAGATAAAGTCCATCAATGCTCAGATGAACTATCCTGTTTTGTACTGACCTGCTTGCAGTTTAAGTAATTTGAATTATTTCGAGTTTAGCAGCTCTTTCAATTCCATTTAATAAAACATTGTTAGTAGTGAAACAGTTTTTCCCTAAATATGGCGTTTGTGTTCATACTTTCAAAATGTACATGTTCATAATGCTCTTGAATCTTCTTAGGTTTTGGCGTTGAAATAATTGCAATGCTTTTTTTTTTTTTTAACATTGCCACTTATTTTTAATTGAAGAATAACTGCTTTACAGGACTGTGTTGGTTTCTGCCATACATCAGCATGAATCAGCCTTAGGTATACATACGTCTCCTCCGTCTTGAGCCTGCCTCCCGCCTCCCACCACTCTAGGTTGTCACAGAGCCAGGGTTGAGCTCCCTACATCATACAGCAAATGGACTATTACAGTGATTTATTTCTAACTAACTGATACTTGATATCAGTCTGCATATTAAAAGAATGTGAGAAATTCTGCTTTAAAGCACTCAATACTGTGTTTTTGCCTATATAGAGTTTAATATTCATATATTGATGATTTCTCTGAGTGCAAATTTTATTGGTAAACAGGTGATAGGCAAGGTACTTTTTTTTTGGAGAAGCGACTACTGTATTAAGATATTGGCTCCTTTTTCTTTTTAATATGAAACTTTGTCATAAATCTCTGCTTTGTCTTGTAAGATCACCTGGCTTTAAACTTGTGTGGTAGGATCGTCAGTTCTGAAGTTTAACTTTATGATAGGAGTTAACTCTAAGTTGTGTTTTCCTATATAACAATACAGATCTTTGTCTATCTTTTACCAAATATGTGACAATTATGTGCATTTTGTTATACTTGTATATGATTTCTAAAATGTTTTAAAATTATTTTACAGTAACTATAAAATCACTTCAGATTTCAAAGTCAGTAAGATTATTTTCTATGCTTAGAATATACGCTTAAAACATTGTTTTTCATACTAGGAAATTCGTAAAGTACACAAAATGGAAGCTATGTTGTTTTACCCTTAACGGCTTGTTTTTGCATGCACATTTCTTTAAGAGTGTGAGAGTTTAGTGTTACTGCTGTTGAATATACCAAGAGTTCAACATATGAGTGTGTTTCTCTAGCTATAGAAAACCTTTCCCCGGAACGATTTTACTGTGGCGCACGTCGAGTTGTTACACCTCTCAGCAATTCATTCTGCTGCCAACCTCATTCCCTTTTCTCTGCCTGCATTTTAATTGAAACAACATTTATGTTTTGAGCCAGGATCTGTCAGAAGTCCCCGTGGCTAGCCTGTGGTACCAGTAGCAGCAGACGCAGCTTACCCATATGGTGCGCTGCTTCTCGTAAAATCCATATGGCCTTGTTGAAGGGAGTCCCAGCGGGGACGTGAGGGGTGTTAATACCCTCAGGCCAGGCCGCTCCCTCCAGGGGCTTCCCAGGCATTGTCAGCGCAATCTGCCGTAGCACACACTTAATTCCTTTTTAATAATCAATTATTTTAATCTAGGAACCTCTGCTATTTTTCTTTAAAAAAAAAAAACAAACTTTTTTTCCCTAAAAATATCTCAAAAGAAGTTTCAACTGCATCTTTAAAAACATTCTAAAGCCTTTTTTTTTTAATTTGCATTCACAGGAAGTACTGCAGACTGTGCCAAAGTTCTGCTTCCCCTTTGACGTTGAAAGGTACAGTATAAGGCATCGTTTAAAATGACCGGAGCCCGCCTTAGTGAGCACTGTAGAAGTATTACTTGTGTCTTCTCTGTGAAATGAAATGTACTTTTCCTCGTTGCCTCTTAACAAAAAAGACAGGAGGTTCAAAATTAAATAACATTTGAAAGGGAGACGGCTTCTAAACCACTGCATCTTCTGTTGTTCTCCACTGTGGCCATTGGGATTAGCCTCAAGGTTCCATCTCTTCCTTTTGTTCTTCAGGTACATATTGTAAGCACTCGGAGGAAAAAGAACATTCGTATGTCCTTTATCAGAGCCTTAGAATTGTGTCTTTTAAAATTAGATGTATACGTCCTGGTTTCTATGTCACTTCACCCTGATTGAAAAGACCATCTGTGTGATATTGTAGAACTCATGGCTGGTTGTCTCCCACAAATAGCTTTATAGAAATAGTGCAGTATTACCAAAGGCTGTGCAGACACCCTCTTACCTAGCAGTTTTGAAAATCTCATTATGTTTGTATTTTACTGAACAAATGCTGAATGAATAGCATATTACCTGGCTTGTGGCAGGAATGTTGCAGCATATATAGCTCTTGAAGCATAAAACAGATCATTTATTGTTTTTCATGTGATTTTTCACACCCTAATATCAGTTTCTTTTTTTTTTAAAGAGTATGCTGTAAGGCAGCTTCTGAAAGAAAATTTATTTTAGGAAAATATTTTGCTAAAAGTCAAGATGGGTAAAAATCTAAAATTGTACAGCATTAAAGATAAAGCCTTTCAAATGATGGACTTACTGATGTTAATAAGCATAGCTCTTTCTTGGAGAATCAGTCGTGTCCACTAACGTTACAGTTTCCAAGTTAATAGCAAAGATGAGATAAAGCAAGCAAAGCTATGGCAGTAAATTGTGAGCCCTGGGCACTGGAGGGCGCGTTAGACACCAGAGACTGTTTTTGAAGTTTGTTAAAAAGAAAAAACAAACCAAAACCCATCTTGCACATAAAAATGTGTTTGTTAAATGTTCAGCATTTGAAATGCAATATTTCTTGATGTTTGAAAATGATTTGCAGTATTGGAACAGTAGGAGTAAGTAACTTTTTTCATTGTACATAATTCGCTCACCATTTCCAAGCCAAAATTTAGGCGTCCTGGAAATTTTATTTTGCATTAAGGAATCAGATGTTCAGTTGTTGCTGTCTAATGGCAAGGTTATGGCCAGTGATGGGAAGTGTATTTGTCTATTTTAAATAATAAAGATTCAGTGTAGGGACTTTGACCTCACCTTCCATGGTAGCGTGACACATACGATGACCGTCTGACCCTTGGGTCAACATTAACTAAAAATTCTTTGTAGTAAGCTTTTTTTAATGAGAATTGTATTATTACTTTGTACTTGGAAATTTATTACCAGGATATAGGTAGCTCTAGAAGAGAATGCTATAAAGAAATGCCAATAGTAATTTGTACGGGGCTTTATTGAGTGAGAAGGTCAATAGAAGAAGCAATTCAAGAGAGTTGGCCGGGCTGCCAGTGGACAGGCCACAGCACACTCTGCTGTGTGGGCAGCCCGGGGCTCCCTGGACGGGAGGCTGGAGCTTCTCACCTTGGCGTGCCATGACTGGTGGTGCTGGCATTTACCAAATAGTGGTAACGAGTCTGCCTGCAGTGCAGGAGACCTGGGCTCGATCCCTGGGTCAGGGAGATTCCCCAGAGGAGGAAACGGCAGCCCACTCCAGCATTCTTGCCTGGAGAATTCCATGGACAGATGAGCCTAGTGGGCTACAGTCTGTGGGGTGACAGAGTCAGACAGAACTAACACTTTAACACTTGAAGCACGTGAAAACTTACAGTTAAGATACCTTATGATTCTCCAGCCAGGTATTAGCACATGCTGAGTAGCTCAACTCGTAATGTGTTGATTCATGATTTAGTTTACACATTTCACACTCATTTTAGTTTTAAAACATCACTCCAGCTCTGAGAACCAGCTGACTGGAAATGTGAAAACAATGGCTTGTGTCCGTCTAGCCTGACTCTTGCTTTTCTTTAAGACGATTCTCACACGAGTCTTGAAGTGTTGTACTGTTGCTGTATTTCAGGGCGTCTCGGAATCAGGTTGGACAGCACTTTGCCTTTGTGCTGACGGACATTGAGAGTAAACAGAGGTTTGGGTTCTGCCGACTCACCGCAGGAGGCAAGATCTGCTTGTGCATCCTGAGGTGAGTGAGTGTCGTGAAAAATGCACTTGGGGACATGGTGGATTAACTGCGTCTCTCTGTTCCACTTTGCTGTATGCTTGGAATGCTTAAAAATGTGCTTGTATATATTTTTTGTTTTCTCTAAATCCAGCTAAGCTGAAAAATAATTTTGTTTACTCTCAGTATACAGCATCAGTTAGGTTTAAAGATTTACCAGTGACAGTAGAATTGGCTCCTTTTAAAAAAATTATTGAAGTACAGTTGACTTACAGTGTTGTGTTAGCATTGACTCTTGTAAAGAATACTTTTTTATGGGTTCATTTTTAAAATAGCAGGTCAAATAATACATGTTTTACATATTGAATAGCATGCGAAAAGTCTGGTTAAATTAGCACGTGCTCTTTTCTATTATTGACCCACGACTAGGATTCTCGAAGGTGAATTGGTGGTTTAAGACAGAGATTGCAGACTGGTGCTTCTGGGCAGAAGTGTTCAGAGGTGCTTTATTTGGCCACGTGGTGTTTTTCAAATTTTAGAAGATGTTTCTAACCTTGTAAATTTCAGTGAAATTTTGCATAAAGTCCGCGTGTCTCGTTCTGTCGCTGGTACCGGTGCAGCTGGCACGAGCCGCGGGTGTCTCCTGAGTCCTGAGTCTGTTCACTGGCCCTGCTCCTCCTGCCGCCATCACCTGCGTCGCCGCCCGGTGCTCAGGGGGCTGTTGAGAGCCGGTCTCTGTGACTTGAGTCTGAGCTGCTGGTGCTGAGGAGGGCAGGTCCTGAAGGCTGGCTTCCCTGACGACTCCGAAATGTAGATGTGTCATAACCTGTGATGATGATCCGCGTGTTGGTCAAGCTAGACTCTATAGAGATGCCCACAGGAAAAGAAATAGGGTTCAACTGAATAATTATCGCAGAAGAACGTTGGTATGATACGGATGTCTACTCTGTTCTCTTGCTGTTTAGCTCCATTCCTGTCATTCTTTGAGGGTTAAGTTATAAATTTACTCAGAATGTTTGTTTGAGTTGGAGAGTTTTTCCCAGTCTTTATTCAGAACCAAATACTTAACTGCTTTATGAGTAATTGGAGAAGGAAATGGCAACCCACTCCAGTACCCTTGCCTAGAAAATTCAATGGATGGAGGAGCCTGGTGGGCTACAGTCCATGGGGTCGCAAAGAGACAGACATGACTGAGCGACTTCACTTCACTTTATGAGTCATAGAGCATGGATTCTCCCGTTCCTGTCTTTAGGCTCGGCTCTTTAATCTGGAGCAAGTGTGTTGAAACGTTGATGTTTTATCCAGAGACGTGTTATGCTTCAGCTGTAGGCTGATTCTTCTAATTTGAAACCATTGTTTTGGGGCAGCGGGTTTGGGAGTGACCGTGTGGGAAGTGGGTGGGGAGGTCTCCCTTACCTTTGTGTTTCATGCTGCAGGTTCCAAAGCCACGCTTGGAAGGGCTCTGTCACCTTGCGCCTGTCACCCTCTGCCCAAAACAAGTTTGCCCTAACAAAGACTGAGGCTGTACGAGCTTTCTGATTTTTCTCTATGAATTTTTAACTCTTTTCATTAAAAAATCAAGTTTGCAGATAGGTTTCAGGAATAGTACTGTGAACTCTTGTCTCACGTGCCCAGGATTCACAGTTGTTAACCTGCTTCTGTCCCTCCCCGCCTTGCTCTCTCAGCGCGCGCGCACACACACACACACACACACACAAACGCGCGCGTTCTCCGTGAGTCTGTTACACGGTTACGCTGACCCATTTGAGAGTAAGTTGTCAATGTCATTTCTTGGTAGTATTTGAATCTGTTCTACAACTCACTGCTGCCAAAATCAGTTCCTGACATAATTGAAGAGTTGTTTATATATCTTTCTATTGGCTAGCAGCTGATAAACTGTGGTGTTTATTCACAGCTGGTAAAAGGAATGAATATCTATAGAAGCCTTTATAAACTGAAAAAACTTACATTGCTTTTCTTAAAAGTTGAGATTTAACACAAAGATGACATCCTTTCTGATTATAGTTTTTAAAATCAGTTACTTATTTCTTTACCTGAAGTATATTATGACTTTCAGATATGAAAAATTTTAGTATCTTGTTCTTAAAGCTGTCTTTTGTGCAGAGTATTGCATTTATATTGAAACATATGACATTTTTAGGTATTTTGTTGTGAAATAATAATGAATTGATTATTTATAGGTCATTTTCAGTAGCAGTGATTTAAGATCCTGTAATAGAAATTAGTAATTTCTCCTGTTGTCTTTATGATATCCTGTTAAACACTTTAAATTGTTTACTTTTGTGATCAACTATATCTTCATAAAAATCTATTCATTTATTTTACCATCTAATGTCTTAGTTCATGTTTTAATAATTAAATTTTAAAAGAACAGTTGTATCTCTTGAGTTTTTGTTGATATCTAATAGTTCAAAATATTTTAGGTCCTTCAAGAGTAGTCATGATGAAAATGGAATACACTTAAGCATGTTTAAGATGTTTAATACAAAGTAAAATTAAGTACAACTTGGTAGTAAGTTTTCTTTAAGATAGCAAAAAATAACTGTTGGATTTCTTGAATAGCAAAGTTAGAGATGGCCATGATAGTCCTAATAATAGCAAATTAACAGCAGCATCACTTAGTGTTTGTTTACTATAAATCAAACATCTTGCTAAGTGATTTATATATATTATTAATAAAAATGACTCTATCCTTAGAGTTCTGATCTAGAAAGTTTGCACATAATGCTTTAAAGTTACTTTGCATTCTGAATGATGCTATTATAAGATTTGAAAGTAATTTGAATTTATGTTATAATTCTAAACTAGAAATCTGTACTCCATGCTATCAAAACCATGGTTTCTTTTTCTACTGGATTTATGCTATTATAAAATCTGGAAGTGAGTGTATTTAATTTCTATATGTTTCATTCACCTTTTAGAAAAAAATATTAGAATTCAGGTTAATTTAATATAAAAGTTAATAAAATTTTGAATTTTGTGTGCTTTAGCCTTTTCTATGGCATATTTGTTCTGCTTTAACAAAATTTCAAAAATACCCTGAAATAGTACTAATTTAAATCGTGCCACTGTTTGTATTTAGCATTGCTTTAGTACGATAGTAGAAATGCAAGAAATAATATTTACTCTAATTTAATTAACATAATTCTATAACTATAAAATTGTCGCCATGGGTTCAAAATGAAGGGCCCTCATAAGGAAGACAGACTAGGGTTTGGTGCCTTTGTAGTCCCCGCCGCCCTGACTCATACCAAACTGGAGCCTTTCACACTCTTGCTTGAGGCAGGTCCCTTAGAAGCAGAATGTTTCAATTTTACACATTTTGTGTCAGCTTTCCAGACAGAAAAACAGCCTCTAGACAGGAGGCGTTTTTCTAGGGAGAGGCGGTTTCCTTAGTTTTATTTGATTGCTCCGAGTTAGGCTCCTGCTGGTCACCGAGACTGTTAGTAGTTACCTGACTGCTTGACAAAAAACATTTCCTCTCCTTTACTTAACCTTTGACTTCTGGATGTAAAAGTTTTATCAGCTTGATAGGATAGTGGGAGCCAAGTGTGGGGGAAGGCTCCTTGCTGTTCAGTGGACTCGTGGTTTTGCTGAGACATCTGTCCCTGGCCTTATGTCTTCATGAAAAGGAAATAATCTCATAACTAACCTTTGAAGAACCTCCTGTTTTCTGTTTTAAAATGATTTGGTCTCAATGTCTCTGTTTTACATTTATGTATGTTTACAAGACTATGAGAGTCACAGGAATCTTTTGCTAAAGAATGACATTTTCAGTTTTTTTAAAACTCAAGTAAAACATTTTATCTAGTCATTATATGTTGAATACATTTTTAACAACTTTCTGGGATGTTTCTGTTTGGTGGTAAGAAATTTTGAACGTCTTTGGGACTGTAAAATTTAGTGAAAACTCTTTTGACTTAATGATAATTAGGAGTTTATACATTAGTTAAAAATTAATTGCTTTGAACATATTTGAAAATTATCTAAGAAACCACAAAAATAGAAACATGGGAATAACATTTCTTATCTGAGCAAGGCTAGCTTATATAATTTATAGTGTTTATTACACATACATATGTGTGTGTATGTGTATTTTTTGAGCACACTTTTGTTTTTAAAGTATGCAGTGGAACCTTGTTAAAATATTTGACTTACTGACTACTTAGTGTACTCTGGACCACTTTGTTGTCACATGTAACGTGAGCACGACTTCATGTTGTCCAGTTGTCTGTATCAGGGGTGGTGAACTCAGTTACCTGTTGGGACAGCTCGGGGACTAAAATGAGATAAGCAAGTTAGGCTGACAGTAGGAAATTGGGGTGATCTAAAGAAATGGCACATACCACATCCAAAGACAAACTGTTACTCAACTGTAGATTTTTGATGAAAAATGGAAAAAAAAAGAAATGTGTGACCAGCACTGCAGGTTCTTTTGATTTGTAGGAGAGGAAATGTAGGTTTTTTAGTGAATTGCCAATTTTAGAAGTTGGCTGCTTATTCAGTTCAACAGCCAAGGTGTGTTGCCCAAACAATAGTATGACCATGGGCTAGATACGTCTGCTTGTAGCCAGTCTGCAGCCTCCGCTGTAGATGCTACTGTTTACTTGCAACAGAAAATGTCCCTGCTTCCCTGACATCCTATGAGCATGACTGACTTATGGAGTAGTCTACTTTGATACAAGTGATGTTTCATGGAAAAAAAAAAATGTACTCTTGAAAGGGGCTAGTTTTCACTAAGAACCATTGCGTGTTCACAGAGAGTGCAGTGTGTGTAACTAAACTCAGTTCTTTATGGTGATGGTGCTTACTGCTGTGTCAGGCAGTGCTCTTGTAGAAAGAGTCCCATTATCTCTCAGGAACAAATTATGTATGGAGAAGAATGTTGGCTAGACAATAGCTACAAGCTGCCAGTCTTCTTATTGATGGAAATATACTGAGATGTTGCTAGATTTGTGTTGTCTGAGGAGAGATCTTGTGCCATGTTGCAGGCCATATCTTTTCAGAAATTTTTATCTGTAGTGATGAACGTAACAAGCAGTACTAAAATCTCCAGTTGGAAGGAATTGCTGATGTGTTAAGTGACAGAATCAAATCGAAATGTTTATGTGGTGGGAAATTTGTGCATATGAATAAAATATAAGAGGCAGAAAGAAAGATACTGCTCTGGACATTAGTTAAACAAATAAATTTTACAAGAGACTTGGCTTTAGAGCCTTGAGCATCTGTTGCTCAGTTGGAATGCTGACCTCAGGCTCGCTGTTCGGTAGCTCTGTGGCCCTGAATTCAGTGGTCTTACCTTAGTTTAGTCAGATACGCATCATGGCATTATTATAAGAATTACATGAGAGAATGCATGTCAAGTACCTAGTGTATTTTTATACACATCAGTTCAGTCGCTCAGTTGTGTCTGACTCTTTGCGACCCCATGAACCGCAGCACGCCAGGCCTCCCTGTCCATCACCAACTCCTGGAGTCCACCCGAACTCACATCCATCGAGTTGTCGATGCCATCCAACCATCTCATCCTCTGTCATCCCTTTCTCCTCCTGCCCTCAATCTTTCCCAGCATCAGGTTCTTTTCAAATGAGTCAGCTCTTCGTATCAGGTGGCCAAAGTATTGGAGTTTCAGCTTCAACATCAGTCCTTCCAATGAACACCCAGGACTGATCTCCTTTAGGATGGACTGGTTGGATCTCCTTGCAGTCCAAGGGACTCTCAAGAGTCTTCACCAACACCACAGTTCAAAAGCATCAATTTTTCAGCACTCAGCTTTCTTCACAGTCCAACTCTCACATCCATACATGACCACTGGAAAAACCATTGCCTTGACTAGACAGACCTTTGTTGGCAAAGTAATGTCTCAAATACCTAGCACTGTTAAATTTTTTAAAGTAAACTATTAATCAATTATTAATTCATTTTGTTTCATTTCCAAAAACAGGTCCATAATCTTACAGATAATTTTTTTTTGTATAAGCTTCTTTCTTTTAAACTAATTTTATTTACTTACTTGTATTTGGCTGTGCTGGGTCTTCATTGCTGCGCAGGCTTTTCTCTAGACGTGGTGAGCGGCACCGCGCTCTCGCTGTGGTGTGAGGGCTTCTCCGTGCAGCCTGGCTCTCGGGCCCGTGGGCTTCAGTAGCTGCTGTGGGGCTTGGGCCCCAGAGCACAGGCTCCGCAGCTGTGGCGCGCGGGCTTCGTTCCTCCGCGGCGTGTGGGGTCTTCCTGGGTCAGGGGTGGAACCCAGGGCTCCTGCCCTGCCAGGTGGATTCTGTACTGCTGACCCACCAGGGCAGCCCTTGCATGAGCTTCTCAGTGAAAAAGTGGGTTCCAGTTCATTTCCTAATTGGAAAGGAAATTGAAAGTTGAAGACAATCAATGAAAAGTAATAATGTAAAGATGAGAAAAAACAGAAAATTTGGTCTAGGGAAAAAGATGCTCTCACTTTGCAATAACTTTTAATTACGAGATATTTATTACATATCTTATTTTTATAGTGGTCAAGGAAGGAGGTTTAAACAAGGTTCCACATTATGTGAGTAAGGTGAAATAACAATGTAAGGATTAATAAGCGGCTATGCAAGCCAGCTAAAATCAACACATCTTGCTTTATCTTAAGATCTTGAGAGCAGGAAAAAAAAAAAACAGGACCAGGATGTTCCTTGAATAGATTAGGTCAGTTTGCCTCTTTATTCTAGTCTTTAGGAGATATTCTTGATGTAGTTTCTAACTTTTCTGTTGATTTTAATTTTTTTCAGCATTTGTATTTTGAATTTCTAAGAACTCTTTCTTGTCTGCTTTTTTCACTTCTTTCTCCTTTCATAGATTTTGTTTTGTTTAATAGCATCCTGCTGTTTATTTAGCTTCTAAGGATGTTAATGACAATTTTTGAAACTCTCACCTGTCTATATTGTCTTTGTTTACTTGGAGTTCCTTTTGTGATTGTATTCACATCTGTATCTCCTCAGATATCTGGTGGTTGGACTGTTAATTTGTATCGAAGACAGAGGCACGGAACTCAATTAGAACCATTGTATGTGCAGTGGTGGGTTTCAGCTGTAAAAAATATAGGGCCTTTGAGGTGTTTTTTTCCTTTGAGAGATTCCCAGATCAGAGTTTTAGGACTCCATGGGGGCCAGCCTTTTGGCCAATGGTCATGTTCCCTGCTGTTGACACTCAGGTTTTGGTTTTCTCACACCTGCTGAATCAGTTATTTTTGTTCACTTATCACCTTTATGAAGCCGCTCACGTGTGTTCCCCTGCGTTATTTCTGTTGCATTTGTCTCTCCTGATCGGTTTACACACTTTCATTCGTTTATAGTCATTGTAGTGTCGTTTACAAAAGGCACAGAGAATAATAGGTGTATTCAGTATACTGTTAGATTTAGCAAGAAGTTGGTAGATAGTGACAGCCATCTTCCATACCCTTACTTACTGTTTGTAATGATCACTTTAAAGAACTCTATAGCATTCTGCAGCATGGGCTTCCCTGGCGACTCAGACAGTAAAGAGTCTGCCTGCAATTCAGGAGACCCGGGTTTGATCCCTGGGTCGGGAAGATCCCCTGGAAAAGGGAATGGCAACCCACTTCAGTATTCTTGCCTGGAGAATCCCCATGGACAGAGGAGTCTGGCAGGATACAGACCATGGGGTTGCAAAGAGTTGGTCATGACTGAGCAAATATAGATGGAGATCGCATTCTGCTGAGTAAAGTCACCATAGTCTACCTGACTGTTGTCTAATGGCTTTAGGCCACTCCTGATTAAAATGTGTCATTAACAGTCACATCGCATAATCAGACATTACATGAAAAAAAGGCAGAAGGAAAGCTGTGTTCCTCAGCGCTAGTCATTGATTTTTAAATTTAAAAATTGTGTCGAAACTCTTGTCAGTATGTATTTGTGTATTAAAAGTATCACAGTGTTTTCTCTTAAAAATTTTTCTGTTGTAGTCATTCTTTGAAGAAAAAATGAGTATTTGTTAATTGATAATTAATTATACTGGTGTGTTTTGTGATTTACTTTTGTATATAGAAGTTTACATTTTGATAAACAATTAAAACCTTTGGATAGATTTTAAATATACATACCTTAATTTGAAAAGGATTACAGATTTTATTTTGTACAGTTGATTTTGGATTTAGCATTATGCTTCCATAAAGTTAATTATATTTGTGCCTAACAAAATGAATTGAAAGGAATTTTAAATTATATGTGTTTTTGATACTTAAATGCTATTTGTAATAACAGTTTTTAAAATAGGCTTACTGTAATGATATTTATTTTGAAATTTATCATCTTACATAAACAACAGTTTCTGAAGAATTGATTTAATTAATAAGCACATAATTCTATTTTTTATATATTCAATTCAGCAATATTTGAAAAGAAATGATTGTGTCTTTATGTCTTTGTTTTAAAAGCTTTTTAAAATTACTTTTTATTTTATATCTTATATCAGTGGTAAATGTTTATTCAATGAGAGCTTCTGGTACACTCAGACCATACCTATAATGAAATGGGGCTAAGTGATGTTAGGTGTTTCTAACATAAAATAGAAATGTGTAATGAATAACCTTTATGATGGAATTTTGGATTCTGATTATTTTATGAAAGCTAATAATGGATTATATGTAAAATTTTACTGTAACAGTAAAGAGAATGTGGGTATTGTTCTTTTTTGCTGTCTAAGATCAACCTGTTGGAAATAATATAAATTTGATGTTTATTTTGTTGTCTTGTTTCTAATTCTAAATGATGCATACACACACACACACATATATATATGCAGACACATTTTTAAGTTATTATTATTATTATTATTATTATTTTACAGTTACCTGCCATGGTTTGAAGTATATTACAAGCTTCTAAATACTCTGGCAGATTACTTGACTAAGGAACTGGTAAGCTCTGTGTTTTTCCCTATTTTAAAAATTGTGGTAAAGTACACATACTATGAAATTTACCATTTTAACCATCTTTAAGTGTACAGTTTGGTATCGTTAAGCGCATTCATGTTATTTTGCAGTCAATACTAACATCTTTGCAACCTTTTTACTTCCCAAATTGAATTTCTGTACCAATGAATCTAAAAGACACTTGGTCCTTATTTGCAAGGAAAGCTTTGATAAACCTAGACAGCATACTAAAAGCAGAGACATCACTTTGGCAACAAAGGTCTGTCTAGTCAAAGCTATGGTTTTTCCATTAGACTTGTACGCATGTGAGAGTTGAACCATGTAAAAGGCTGAGCACTGAAGAACTGATGCTTTTAGATTGTGGTGTTGGGGAAAACCCCTGAAAGTCCCTTGGACAGCAAGGAGATCAAACCAGTCCACCCTAAAGGAAATCAATCCTGAATATTCATTGGAAGGACTGATGCTGAAGCTGAAGCTCCAGTAGGCTCCACCTGGTACCAAGAGCCTACTCACTGGAAGAGACCCTGATGCTGGGAAAGATTGAAGACGGGAGGAGAAGGGGACGACAGAGGATGAGATGGTTGGATGGCATCACTGACTCAATGGAAAAGTTTGAGCAAACTCCAGGAGATAGTGAAGGACAGGGAAGCCTGGCATGTTGCCGTCTGCGGGTTTGAAAAGAGTTGGACATGACTGAGCGACTGAACGACAACAGCCACCTCCCATAAGTAGAATAATACAGTACAGATCCTCTGTGACTGGCCTATTTCACTTCATGTTTTCGAGTCCCATCCATATTGTGGCATATGTCAGAGTTCCCTTCCTGTTTAAGGTTGAATAGTATTCTGTTATTCACACACTGCGTTTCATTTACTCATACGTAGATGGACACTTGGGATGCGTCCATCTTTTGGCTCTTGTGAGCAAAGCTGCCATGAACATGGTGTGCACACACCTGTTTTGAGTCTGTATTCGGATCTTCAGAGAATGTTCCCGGAAGTAGAATTGCTGAAGAGTATTATAATTCTGTGCGTGATTTTTTGAAGAACTGCCATAATGTTTTCCACAGTGGTTTCATAAATTTACATTCCCACCAGGAACACACAGGTTTCCAGTTTTCCCACACCCTCCCTGAGACTTCTTACTTTTTGTTTTGTTTTGATAATTGTCATTCTAATGGGTGTGTAGTATATGATTGTGGTTTTAATGTGCATTTCCCTAAAGATTAGCAATATAGAGTCTTTTCCTGTGTTTATTGGTTATTAAATATCTTCTTTGCTGAAATATTTATTCCAGTCCTTTGCCATTTTTTAACTGCATTTTCATATTGTTGTTGAGGAGTGGGAGCTTTTCATATATTCAGATATTGTCAGATACGTCATCTGCAAATATTTTCTCCCATTCCATGGGTTGCCTTTTTACTTTGTTGATAGTGTCCTTTGCTGTACAAAATTTTTTAACCTTAAAGAAGAATAATTTATCTGTTTTTTTTCTTTTGTTGTTTTGTGCTTTGGTGTCATGTCAAGAAATAATTTTCAAATACAGTGTCATGAAGCTTTCTTTTTTCCTTCCAAGAGTTTTAGCTCTTACATTGATTTTCATATCTTTATCCTTTTTTCTTAAAAAAAGAAATGCAAAACAGAAACTGAAGTTTGCTTTGAATTAATGGACAGCTGTGGAATGATGATTTTTAAAACGTAAAATAAAGTGTTTAGTCACTCAGTTGTGTCTGCCTCTTCAACCCCATGGACTGTAGCCCACCATGTTCTTATCTCTAAGAATCATCTCTCTGAAACCTGATTATGTCCTTTTACTGCTTTTAATACTTTCAGTGCCTTCTTTTTTTCTTAGAATGAAATTTAAACATGTGCAGACTAACACATTAGAAGCTTCATGATCTGGCATCTGATAGTCCTTCCTGTCTTATCTGCTCCCCCTTTTCTACACCTGACGGACCATCCAGTTATTTGGAGCTACTTAAATTTCCTAGGACATAACTCCACACAGTTGTCTTTCGGGAGTTTAGGTCACTCGCTCGTGATTACTGGTAAAACACTCATCTTTTAAGATTCAATGTAAATATCTTTAAAAACAAACCTAAATTCAGTGCAAATACTACTCCAGATACTTTTTACTAAATAGAATTTAAATGCATTATTAATAAATTAAGAAAATAGATTTACTCTTAGGGTGAGCAGTCTCATAATTTGGCAATCAGATTTTATTATAATAGCAATAGTGTTTTAGTGTTTGTCAAAAGTATTTTATGTTTCAGCTATTTAGTCATTTGTCTTCCTATGAAAATGGTACTGGAACTATCCAACTATTGCATTGAAAACTCACAACCAGAATTCAGTTTCATGATAATTTCTGGTTCTTTGTATTTTTGAGTAAACATGTGGAACCAACATCACTCGTATTATCCAAGTTTTGATTAACTTCAGAACCTCTTATTGATGACTTATCATATGGCATCTGCTCCCCGAGACCATATGTAATACTGGAATATAGAAAAGAAAATACTATGGTTTTCTGAGAAGAGGACATGAGGGAGACTACATTTGTATTCCTGATTAGAGGGGAAAAATATTTTAAGTTCATAGTATTAGTTCAGTAGCTGGAAATAAATGTATGAGTATACTAATTTTTCTTTTCACTTTTAATCCAGTGCCACAGGTTATTTATTAATAGATTGGTGTTTAGATTTCAGAATCAGTTATCCTTATCTGATCAATATCAGGCAACTTCCAAGAACTCTAGAATGCTAGACTTTAAAAAATTTATGTAGCTATAAGAATTTTGTATAGACAACATCAGTATCTTCCAGAATATCCTGTGGTATATTTCACTGCCTGAATGGTCCAGTGAACCATTTAACCATGAATGCTTTAATAGACACCTTTTTAGGTCATTCTAGAGAGAATTCCACATAGGCAGTTTTGAGTGCACACTTTTGCAAGCATTTATAGAGATCTGAATTAAGTTTTCATAGAGAAGTTGGGAGAAGTCATGTGTCTCATATCCATATCCCTTAAAATGGGTTACCTGCTTCTGCCTTTGCTTTATTCTCCCACCATAATAAAGAACGAAAGTACACATAATAAAGAGAGAATGAATATATACATGCATATTTATGTGTATTCAAAGCTTCCTTCATGTATTCATTATTGGATTTGTATGTGAAGTTCAGAAAAGTGAAGTGTGCACATCAGGATACATTACTGTTGTGCAAATCCCATAAAGTAGATGTGTTGCACATTTTACATAATCCCGTTTATCATGGGCTGAGTAGAGACCAGGAGCTACCTAGAAGAGAAATGTTTAGAATGTTGCATCTTGCATCAAAGTTGCATCTTAGCACACCAATCTTACTTAAACTGTACCTATTTCTTAAAAATTAGGTTTGTGATTTTAAAATTAAAATGGAAAATGCAAGTGTTCCGCTTGCAGCAGTTATCCAAGTTGCGAATGCAAAGGAAAATTAAAATTCTTAAAGCAAATTAAAAGTACTACGTAACTGAACACAGAAATCAGAAAGCAAAACAGCCTTATATATTACTGATATGGAGAGAGTCTTAATGGTCTAAATAGACAGTCAGACTAGATGTCACAACATTCCTTCAAGCCAAAGCCCAGTCCAGAGCAAGCCCCTACCTCTCTTCAATTCTCTGAAGGTTGAGAGAACTGAAGAGGCTGCAGAAGGAAAGGTCAGAGCTGGCAGAGGCTGGTTCCTGAGGATTAAGGAAGGAGGCTGTCTCCATAGCATTAAAGTGCAAGGCAAAGCAGCCCTTGCTGCAAGTTATCCAGAAGACCTAGCTGAGATAGTTCGTGAAGGTGCTGCCCTGAACAACAGGTTTTCTGTGTAGATGAAGATGAAACAGTCTTATATAGGAGGATGCCATCTAGGACTTTCATAGGCAGAGAGAAGAGGTCAGTGTCTGGTTTCAAAGCTTCAGGGGACAGGCTGACTCACTAGTTAGGGGCTAATGCAGCTGGTGACTTGAAGTCGAAGCCAGTGTTCATTTACCCTCTGAAATTCCTGGAATCTCCTAAGAATTATGCACAGTCTGTGCTCTACAAATAGACTAACAGCACATCTGTTGACAGCATGGTTTACTGAATATTTTAAACCCAGTGTTGAGACATACTGCTCAAAAAAAAAATTCCTTTCAAAATATTACTGTTCATTGACAATGCACCTGGTCACCCAAGAGCTTTTTTTTAAAAATTAATTAATTTATTTTAATTGGGAGCTAATTACTTTACAGTATTGTGATTTTTGCCATGCGTTGACATGAATCAGCCACGGGTGTACATGTGTCCCCCAGTCCTGAACCCTGCTCCTAACTCCCTCCTCATCCCATCCCTCTGGGTTGTCCCAGTGCACTGGCTTTGAGGGCCCTGGTTCATGAATCAAACTTGGACTTCACCCAAGAGCTTTGATAGACATGGAAGACAGTATTTTTTTTTTTTCTTTCATGCCTGCTAACACACCGTTCATTCTTCAGCCCATTGATCAAGGAGTCATTTTGACTTTTTATATATTATCATTATTTAAACTTTATTATTTATTATTTAAACTTTTATTATTATTTAAACTTTATTTATTTATTATTTATTAAGTCATATTATCATATTATTTAAAAAATAGCAGGAGATGCAGGAGACACTGATTTGATCCCTGGGATGGGAACATCCCCTGGAGAAGGAAAGAGCAACCCACTCCAGTATCCTTTTTTTTTTTTTCCTTTTTCCACTCCAGTATTCTTCCATGGGAAATCCCACGGACAGAGGAGCCTGGTAGGCTACTGTCCAAGGGGTCACAGAGTCTGGCACAACTTAGCAACTGAGCATGCACACCACACATTTAAAAATTACATTTCAGAAGACTGCAGCTGCCTTAGGTATTGATTCCTCTGATGGAGATGGGCATAGTAAATTGAAAACCCTCTGGAAAGGATTCACCATGTTAGATGCCATTAAGAACGTTTTTGATTCATGGGGAAAGGTCAAAATATCAATGTACACTGGAGCTTAAGTAAGTTAATGCAAGCCCGGTTGGATGACTTTATGTTGGTGGGATTCAGGGCTTCATTGGTGGAAGTAACTGCAGATGTGGCAGAAGTAGCAAGAGAACTAGAAGTGAAGCCTGAAGATGTGTCTGAGTTGCTGCAGTCTCATAGTAAAACTCGAACAGGTGAGGAGTTGCCTGTCATGGACGAGCAAAGAGAGTGAATTTTTGAGATGGAATCTGGATGCTGTGAAGACTCTTGAAATGACAACAAAGGATCCGAAACGTTGTGTGAGCTTCGTTGATAAAGCAGCAGCAGGGTTTGAGAGGATCGGCTCCAGTTTTGAAAGAAGATCTCCTGTGGGTGAATGCTGTGAGCAGTGCTGCAGGCTGAAGAGAAATGCTTCACGAAAGGAAGAGTCAGTTGATGCCCCAAACTTCACATGGTCTTATTTTAGACATCAGCACAGCCACCCCAGCCTTCCGCACCCACCACCCTGATCCGTTAGCACCATCAGCATCGAGGCCAGACCCTCCACCAGGGAAAAGATTATGACTCGCTGAAGGCTCCGATGGTGGTTAGCATATTTTAGCAATAAAGTATTTTAACTTAAGGTATGACTTTTTTTTTCTTTAATACATGATGGTGTTGTGCGTTTAATAGACTACAAAGTAGTAAACACAACTTTTATATGCACTAGGAAGCCAAAAACTTCATGAGACTCATGTTATTGCTATATTCGCTTAATTGCGGTGGTCTAGAACTGCGCACACCATTTCTCCAGGGTCTGCCTGAATGTAAAACGTGTCTGACATGAGTAGGTGCAGTGAATGATTTTGTCAAACAGTTTTAATTGTTTTTACTTAATTGCTATTTCATTTATAAAAAGTACTTTTTTTTTTTTTTTTACTCTAGGAAGACGATTTGAATGAAACTCTGAGATCTCTCTATAACCATCCAGTACCGAAGGCAAACACCCCTGTCAACTTGAGTGTGGTGAGTACTGAATCCGTTATTTGATGCTTTGAGCCACAGTGGTGTAGAAACCCCGCCGAGTCGCCTCCCAGGGAGACTTTACTGCTGGTACTGACTTTACCACCTGGCGATATTGAGGCTTTCTGATACGCTTTAACTATCATAACATGATTTGTTAGAGGTATATTTTGGTAGTTGTTAAATCACAGATTTTTTTTTAAAAAATTATATGTTAAAAGTAACTAAATCTGTGAGAATAGTTTGATTGTGAGGAACATTGGTTTTCAGGTAGACTCTACCCATAATAAGGACCCCTCCCCTCCCCCCAAACAATGAGTGTAGCCCACCAGGCTCCTCTGTCCATGGGATTCTCCAGACAAGAATACTGGAGTGGGTTGCCATTCCCTTATCCGGGGGATCTTCTCGACCCAAGGATTGAACCTAGGTCTCCTGCATTGCAAGCAGATTCTTTACCATCTGATCCACCAGAGAAGCCCCATGTGTACAATACCCCTCATAAAATGAAAACAGTACATAGTAAGCATTGAAAGTAGACCACATAACCAAGTAGATGACAAAGATTCTGGGTGAAAAAATCTCCTTTTTTCCCCATTCTTCAATACATCTTTTAGTATAATCACCAAACGCTGGAAATAAAATTGAGTTTGTCGAAGCAGTAAGCATTGGTGGTAAAGATTATTTACTACTGAAACTTTTAATAAACTGTATGCTGTGTATAGCTAAAATCACACTAGTACTTTGGGAGGCTCTGTAAGTGTTCAGAATTAATAATCACAAAATACAGATGTTTTAATTAATTTGGCATACCAAATAGAATATTAAAATTTACCTATGTTGATTTTGCTTCTTCCAAAGTGATAATAAACTATCCTAATTAAAAAAGGAAATGATATAATGATCATTATAATTCTATAATGATGCAGGAGAAATGGAGGGAAAAAGCAGTTTGAAATGTCTATAATAGTGTTAATAGGTCTTTTGGATTCTTCTGCAAGATAAAGAAATTATCTTTAGCCTTTTTATAGTTTTTCTTTGGTAATAACTTTCTTCTTGTTTCAGTTTCTCCCTGTCATGTTTTTGATAATTGTGATTTCATTCTTACTGTTTCTAGTGTCAGCCCCTCGTCTGGGTGCCCAACATTTAATAACAGTCAGTAGTCTGCAGTTTCTCCTTCTAGTCCTTTCTGTAAGAGACTGTCAGATTAAACTTCCTTCAGCTATATAAGGGTTTCCCCAGTAGCTCAGTGGTAAAGAACCTGCCTGCCAATGCAGGAGACCCAGGAGACCCAGGTTTGATTCCCGGGTCGGGAAGATCCCGTGGAGGAGGAAATGGCTACCCACTCCAGTATTCTTGCCTGGAGAATCCCATGGACGGGGGAGCCTGGCAGACTGTAGTCCCTAGGGTCTCAAAGAGTCGGATGACTGAGCATGCATCATGCAACCATTAAGCTATAAAGCCCCCTTGATTATAACGCTTAATAGTTCCCCATTTTCTGTAGAATTTATCCAGACTCTTGGCCTTTCAGGACCAGCCACTTGTTAGCCTCCGTCCAGATTTTCACTTTTCCATTTCACTTTTCTTCCCCTAAATTGATTCTCTACTCTGGTCACAGTGTTGTGTTCATCCATCTTCTTGAGGGCTCTGTGCCTTCCTGGTTCCGCACCTTTCTCTCCTACTGACACCTCTGTGTGGACCGCCCGCCTTCACTCTGGAGCTGGCTCCGCCCCGGCTTTGTGAGCCGGTCCCTCCTCTGGCAGCACAGGGTGTCCTCTGCCCCTGTCTGCGTCCTCACGTGTTGCTTAGTGTCCAAGTGGAAACGCTCAGCAGTCGGGGGCTGGAAAGTGAAGGATACCCTGGAATTTTCCACCCTTATCTGGGAGTCATCTGCAGACATGGTTGTAGGCCTGGGTGATTTAAAGGCCAGGATGTAGAGAAGATGGAGCAGCGGTGAGGGCCGGCTGTGTGGAGAGGAGAGCAGAGAGAGGAGGGGCTGGAGGACGGAGAGCCGTCAGGGAGGAGGGGCTGGAGGATGGAGAGCAGTCAGGGAGGAGGGGCTGGAGGACGGAGAGCCGTCAGGGAGGAGGGGCTGGAGGACAGAGAGCCGTCAGGGAGGAGGGGCTGGAGGACGGAGAGCCGTCAGGGAGGAGGGGCTGGAGGACGGAGAGCCGTCAGGGAGGAGGGGCTGGAGGATGGAGAGCAGAGGGAGGAGGGGCTGGAGGATGGAGAGCAGTCAGGGAGGAGGGGCTGGAGGATGGAGAGCAGAGGGAGGAGGGGCTGGAGGATGAAGAGCAGTCAGGGAGGAGGGGCTGGAGGACGGAGAGCAGAGGGAGGAGGGGCTGGAGGACGGAGAGCCGTCAGGGAGGAGGGGCTGGAGGATGGAGAGCAGAGGGAGGAGGGGCTGGAGGATGGAGAGCAGAGGGAGGAGGGGCTGGAGGATGGAGAACAGTCAGGGAGGAGGGGCTGGAGGATGGAGAACAGTCAGGGAGGAGGGGCTGGAGGATGAAGAGCAGTCAGGGAGGAGGGGCTGAAGGATGGAGAACAGTCAGGGAGGAGGGGCTGGAGGATGGAGAACAGTCAGGGAGGAGGGGCTGGAGGATGAAGAGCAGTCAGGGAGGAGGGGCTGAAGGATGGAGAACAGTCAGGGAGGAGGGGCTGGAGGATGGAGAACAGTCAGGGAGGAGGGGCTGGAGGATGAAGAGCAGTCAGGGAGGAGGGGCTGGAGGACGGAGAGCAGAGGGAGGAGGGGCTGGAGGACGGAGAGCCGTCAGGGAGGAGGGGCTGGAGGATGAAGAGCAGTCAGGGAGGAGGGGCTGGAGGACGGAGAGCAGAGGGAGGAGGGGCTGGAGGACGGAGAGCCGTCAGGGAGGAGGGGCTGGAGGACGGAGAGCAGTCAGGGAGGAGGGGCTGGAGGATGAAGAGCAGTCAGGGAGGAGGGGCTGGAGGATGGAGAACAGTCAGGGAGGAGGGGCTGGAGGACGGAGAGCAGAGGGAGGAGGGGCTGGAGGACGGAGAGCCGTCAGGGAGGAGGGGCTGGAGGACGGAGAACAGTCAGGGAGGAGGGGCTGGAGGACGGAGAACAGTCAGGGAGGAGGGGCTGGAGGACGGAGAACAGTCAGGGAGGAGGGGCTGGAGGATGGAGAGCAGAGGGAGGACGGGCTGGAGGACGGAGAGCAGAGGGAGGAGGGGCTGGAGGACGGAGAGCCGTCAGGGAGGAGGGGCTGGAGGACGGAGAGCCGTCAGGGAGGAGGGGCTGGAGGACGGAGAGCCGTCAGGGAGGAGGGGCTGGAGGACGGAGAGCCGTCAGGGAGGAGGGGCTGGAGGACGGAGAGCAGAGGGAGGAGGGGCTGGAGGACGGAGAGCAGTCAGGGAGGAGGGGCTGGAGGACGGAGAACAGTCAGGGAGGACGGGCTGGAGGACGGAGAGCCGTCAGGGAGGAGGGGCTGGAGGACGGAGAGCAGTCAGGGAGGACGGGCTGGAGGACGGAGAGCAGAGGGAGGAGGGGCTGGAGGACGGAGAGCAGAGGGAGGAGGGGCTGGAGGACGGAGAGCCGTCAGGGAGGAGGGGCTGGAGGACGGAGAACAGTCAGGGAGGAGGGGCTGGAGGACGGAGAGCCGTCAGGGAGGAGGGGCTGGAGGACGGAGAACAGTCAGGGAGGAGGGGCTGGAGGACGGAGAACAGTCAGGGAGGAGGGGCTGGAGGATGGAGAGCAGAGGGAGGACGGGCTGGAGGACGGAGAGCAGAGGGAGGAGGGGCTGGAGGACGGAGAGCCGTCAGGGAGGAGGGGCTGGAGGACGGAGAGCAGAGGGAGGAGGGGCTGGAGGACGGAGAGCAGTCAGGGAGGAGGGGCTGGAGGACGGAGAGCCGTCAGGGAGGAGGGGCTGGAGGACGGAGAGCAGAGGGAGGAGGGGCTGGAGGACGGAGAGCAGAGGGAGGAGGGGCTGGAGGACGGAGAGCAGTCAGGGAGGAGGGGCTGGAGGACGGAGAGCCGTCAGGGAGGAGGGGCTGGAGGACGGAGAGCAGTCAGGGAGGAGGGGCTGGAGGACGGAGAACAGTCAGGGAGGAGGGGCTGGAGGATGGAGAACAGGGAGGACGGGCTGGAGGACGGAGAGCAGAGGGAGGAGGGGCTGGAGGACGGAGAGCAGAGGGAGGAGGGGCTGGAGGACGGAGAGCCGTCAGGGAGGAGGGGCTGGAGGACGGAGAGCCGTCAGGGAGGAGGGGCTGGAGGACGGAGAGCAGAGGGAGGAGGGGCTGGAGGATGGAGAGCAGTCAGGGAGGAGGGGCTGGAGGACGGAGAACAGTCAGGGAGGAGGGGCTGGAGGATGGAGAACAGTCAGGGAGGACGGGCTGGAGGACGAGAGCAGAGGGAGGAGGGGCTGGAGGACGGTGAGCAGAGGGAGGAGGGGCTGGAGGATGGAGAGCAGTCAGGGAGGAGGGGCTGGAGGACGGAGAGCAGAGGGAGGAGGGGCTGGAGGATGGAGAACAGTCAGGGAGGAGGGGCTGGAGGACAGAGAGCAGAGGGAGGAGGGGCTGGAGGACGGAGAGCAGTCAGGGAGGAGGGGCTGGAGGATGGAGAACAGTCAGGGAGGAGGGGCTGGAGGACGGAGAGCAGTCAGGGAGGAGGGGCTGGAGGATGGAGAGCAGAGGGAGGAGGGGCTGGAGGACGGAGAGCCGTCAGGGAGGAGGGGCTGGAGGACGGAGAGCCGTCAGGGAGGAGGGGCTGGAGGATGAAGAGCAGTCAGGGAGGAGGGGCTGGAGGACGGAGAGCTGTCAGGGAGGAGGGGCTGGAGGACGGAGAACAGTCAGGGAGGAGGGGCTGGAGGATGAAGAGCAGTCAGGGAGGAGGGGCTGAAGGATGGAGAACAGTCAGGGAGGAGGGGCTGGAGGACGGAGAGCCGTCAGGGAGGAGGGGCTGGAGGATGGAGAACAGAGGGAGGAGGGGCTGGAGGATGGAGAGCAGAGGGAGGAGGGGCTGGAGGACGGAGAGCCGTCAGGGAGGACGGGCTGGAGGATGGAGAGCAGTCAGGGAGGAGGGACTGGAGGACGGAGAGCAGAGGGAGGAGGGTCTGGAGGACGGAGAGCCGTCAGGGAGGAGGGGCTGCAGGATGGAGAGCAGTCAGGGAGGAGGGGCTGGAGGACGGAGAGCAGTCAGGGAGGAGGGGCTGGAGGACGGAGAGCAGTCAGGGAGGAGGGGCTGGAGGACGGAGAGCCGTCAGGGAGGAGGGGCTGGAGGATGGAGAACAGAGGGAGGAGGGGCTGGAGGATGGAGAGCAGAGGGAGGAGGGGCTGGAGGACGGAGAGCCGTCAGGGAGGAGGGACTGGAGGACGGAGAGCAGAGGGAGGAGGGTCTGGAGGACGGAGAGCCGTCAGGGAGGAGGGGCTGCAGGATGGAGAGCAGTCAGGGAGGAGGGGCTGGAGGACGGAGAGCAGTCAGGGAGGAGGGGCTGGAGGATGGAGAACAGAGGGAGGAGGGGCTGGAGGACGAAGAGCCGTCAGGGAGGAGGGCCTGGAGGATGGAGAGCAGAGGGAGGAGGGGCTGGAGGATGGAGAACAGTCAGGGAGGAGGGGCTGGAGAACAGTCAGGGAGGAGGGGCTGGAGGACAGGGAGCAGTCAGGGAGGAGCCCAGATTTGTTGTCACTGAAGCCAGTGCAGTGCGGGTTCATTGTGAGTAGGAAGGGGGTAGAAACAACAACGAAAAATGCCCAAGAGTAAGAAGAAAGACTCTCGGTTTTCTGAAAATCGTTGTTTTCCTCTGTCAGAGTTGTATTTATAATGTGATTCTAACACTTTGTTAAATGGTTAATAAATATACTGTGGGTACTGAGATCGTAGAGACAGTTATTACAGAGAGGTGAGAAATAAAAGTGTATTCTCTAAGTTTGATTATCATATTTGTTCAGGAGTAAATATCTTATAAATATACATATCAGAAATACTGGACATTGAAGAATTTCACCTTTATTGATAAGAAGTGTAAGTCAAAGACGTCTAGGCTTCTTAATACCTAAAGACTAGGAGATTTTGGTTTTTTAAAAAAAGTCACTAAACGTGTGATGTGAGGCAAACAAGGTAACTTTTTTGAGGTATTTAGATATACCACAAAAAGCCATTTGAATGTTAGCTGCCAGTAAATTGAAATTTTGCTTGATATGGAGAGGATTTTTATTATATCTGAAATAATCTTGATAAAGGAATTTGAATGACTGTGTTGTGTTTCTAGGTATGATAGTTACTTTTATAATTTAAGCCTTACGTGTAAGCTTTTGAGTCAGTAGCCTGTGATAGGTTTCAAACCTTGTTAACCTGTTGTCAATGCAGTATTTTCGGTACTGGTAAATCCAGCTTGTGGATAAACACTTATGTAAAGTCCATATAGTGATTTCATTTGACTTCAGTAACAGGTTATTAACTCATGTGCCTGTGCTGTGCAGTTCAGTTCAGTCGCTCAGTTGTGTCCAACTTTTGCGGCCCCATGGACTGCAGCACGCCAGGCTTCCCTGTCCATCACTAACTCCCAGAGCTTGCTCAAACTCATGTCCATTGAGTCAGTGATGCCATCCAGCCATCTCATCCTCTATCATCCCCTTCTCCTCCCATCTTCCATCTTTCCCAGCAGCAGGGTCTTTTCCAATGAGTCAGTTCTTTGCATCAGGTGACCAAAGGATTGGAGCTTCAGCTTCAGGATCAGTCCTTCCAATAAATATTCAGGACTGATGTCCTTTAGGATGGACTGGTTGGATCTCCTTTCAGTCCAAGGGACTCTCAAGAGTCATCTCCAACACCACAGTTCAAAAGCATTAATTCTTCAGTGCTCAGATTTCTTTTATAGTCCAACTCTCACATCCATACATGACCACTGGAAAAACCATAGCTTTAACTAGATGGACCTATGTCAGCAAAGTAATGTCTCTGCTTTTCAATATGCTGTCTAGGTTGGTCATAACTTTTCTTCTAAGGAGCAAATGTCTTCTAATTTCATGGTTGCAGTCACCATCTGCAGTGATTTTGGAGCCCAAGAAAATAAAGTCTCTCACTGTTTCCAAGGTTTCTTCATCCATTTAACATGAAGTGATGGGACTAGATGGCTTGATCTTAGTTTTCTGAATGTTGAGTTTTAAGCCAACTTTTTCACTCTCCTCCTTCACTTTCATCAAGAGGCTCTTTAGTTCTTTGCGTTCTGCCATAAGGGTGGTGTCATCTGCATATCTGAGGTTATTGCTATTTCTCCCGTCAATCTTGATTCCAGCTTGTGCTTCATCCAGCCCAGCATTTCACATGATGTGCTCTGCATATAAGTTAAATAAGCAGGGTGACAATATACAGCCTTGGTGTACTCCTTCCCAATTTGGAGCCAGTCTGTTGTTCCATATCCAGTTCTAACTGTTGCTTCTTGACCTGCATACAGGTTTCTCAGGAGGCAGGTAAGATGTTCTGGTATTCACATCTCTCTAAGAATTTTCCACAGTCTGTTGTGATCTACACAGTCAAAGGCTTTGGCATAGTCAATAAAGCAGAAGTAGATGTTTTTCTGGTACTCTTTTGCTTTTTCAATGATCCAACAGATGTTGGCAATTTGATCTCTGGTTCTGTGCTGTTAATGACTGGCAAAACTCGGGTGAAGAAGTTTTGTGATGTCAGGTTAAAATTGATGGCCTTAGGAATTTTTGTTCCTTCACAAATGGAAAAGAAATTTTTTTAAGGTTTTCTATTAGAAAAATATGACAAATCTTGAGAAACAACTGTGATTTTCTTATAATTTCATTTTCATGAATGTTCCATCACATGAGTTTTCAAGACTTGACATTATAGCCCATTAGAATGTCACAGGGATTTTGTGAAATGTTAATATCCAATGCAACTGCTTGCTTTGAAAGTATATTTCAGAATCATTAAATATCCACAGAATACTCTCTGTTGAGAATGAAAGAAAGAACTTCAAATTTTTCTAGCATAAAACTAGCAAATCAGCATTTAAAATACTTAAAATTACCGCTTTTCAGGTATTTTCAGCAGATAATATGGCTACATGGGTTTTTCTCAAATACACAGCAAATCGTTGTGTAAATATCGCCCTTGAAAGTAAAATATTCATTTTTTTCTCTCACATATTGTAAGAACCAAGAGATATTTTTTGCCAGTGAGCAAGTTCTGAAAGAGCAGCCCTCCTTAGCACGGGTGAGTTCAAAGGACATTGGCTTCTGAAAATCATTGGGAAAAATCACTGCAAAATTAATTGCTTCTTTCACTGTCTTTAAGATTCACCCCAGTCCTTTGAGGAGTGGTAAATCTGCTTCTTAATCATTCAGATTATATTTTCTGTTTATACAATCTTTTAAAGCATAGCACTGTATTTCACTTTATGAAATACAGTGCTTGTAAAAGTCCATCCCAATACAAGTAGCTGATGGAGACCAGACCCACACTCACTGTCACGTCAGGGGTGTGGTATCCAGCTGGGCTCGCCGCATGGATGTGGTCACATGGTTCATCACAAGGTTCTAGGACCTTGTTTTTCCACCTGTAAGTCACACGTTGTGGCTGTGTCCCCTAGCCTTGCTCTGATGAGTTTGACGGTGCTCAGTATTGCTAGGATGACTTTCCCCCTTCAATCTTTAATTATGGGATAATATTAACTAGGTCCTTATGTGAGATAGTAAAATTATTTTGGAGATTAATATGAACAGAAAATAAAATGATTTTGGTGATTGAATTGTACTGTGATTCTGTGTGTGGTAAGATCTGGGAACATTCTGTGAAACGTCAAGGTACACAGGGCGCCTTTTGTGTAAATATGTCTATGAACTAACTGCTGTATTGCTTTGAGTATTACAAAAGCTAATTAACATTTGTTTAGTGGGCATATAAAAGTCATATTTTGGGGTGAGAAATTACCCTTCAAGAAGTTTTAAATATTAAAAATTATTTTTTATTGCTGCTTTCTAAATAATACAGTGGCTGATATGTACAGAAGAAGTTTGTGATGACTCAGTCTTAATACATTTTGATATATCCTTGGGTAAACAAGCCTTTTCTCAGGCTCCCTAAACCAAATGTGTTAAAGTTATCTATCTTTCTATCAGTAATATGCTTTTTTGGTCTCAATGCACTTTTCCTAAGATTATTATTTCAATTTTAAAATGAAATATTTTTAATCAACACTTTTCATATGAGAAACTTATTGTTAAATCTCCTGTAAACCTGCTATCTTATTTAAGAATCTCTCAATTTTAGCAAATCCTGGGCATCAGTCCTTGATTTATCAATTTAGTTGATGTATTTTTAAAATTTTAATCTCAAATTATACATAATGCTACCAGATTTTAATTCTCCTTTTCTTATGTGATTTATTTCCATTGACCAGCATTCCTGTTTCATTGCCCCTGATGTAACTGGACTGCCAACCATCCCTGAGAATGTAAGTTTTTTATGTTTTCTATTTTGCTGGTATGAATTTTATTTATTTTGGTCTCACAGTTGAAGGATTTCTTGGTAGAGAAATAGAATACATTGTAACTGTTTGTGTTTGTGAGAAAAAAATGAAAAAATTAAGAATAATGGTGTCATCTCTTTTTCTTTATGTATCTGTTACTTTACCTCCTTTACAGCGATTGTAGATAAGACAGATTATATGAGAAAACCTCTTTCTGACATACATTTGAGATAGCTCAGTAGGATAGTCTGTACTCAGGTTCTGAGCTCCCTGGATCAGGCAGACGAGATGTCTCAGCAGATGTCTCTTGTGTATGGGGGAATGAGTGTGTGCAATGGGAAATACTTTCACGCAAATAGTCACAGTAGTGAAATGGCCATAGTGTTTAGGTTCCTTGTGTATATAGCTCTGTTCAAATCTCAGATGTTCTCTATTCAGTATCCTGATTTTTAATTTAAGTAATACGTATTTTGTAAGGCTTGAAGGATACTACCAGAAATTATAAAATTGCCACATTTTGTATTTTATATAGAGTCCTGATTGTATCCTTGCTAGAAATATGTTCAGTGTTTTACTGGTTATTACAAATTAAAATTCTGCAGAAAAGTTTACCTGGGTAAATGGAATTTAAAGGTACACTTTTGGATACTGTGTGAAAAGGAGATGTTTCCTTTTGTAAGTTTCTTTTTTTCCAACTTCATTTTGGAAAGATAAAATGAACCACTATAAATAATTTTATCAGAAGTGAAGGAAACATCAACTCAGGAATATGTATTATTTTTATATGTACTATACTCTGCTATCCTCCTGAAAATGAACCTCCTGAGTGTTTGGGTTCCAAAAGCACATGGGTTGTGAGTGAATGAAGTACAAGAAGACAGCTGTAAATTTCCTGATATGGAAGCAAGGCTGGCAGTGGGGTTTTGAGTACAGATGAGTTCAGTTGCCTCCTGTGAGGAGATTGCATGCAGCCTGAGGTGGACCATCCAACTCACAGGTCCTCCCAGGCCCTCAAGTCCTCTGCGTGCAGGACCTCTGTTCGGGTGTCTGGAGGCTGACTGACTTGACGTCTGCATGCCTGCCCCTCCCCTCAGGCTGTTACTGCAAGTCAGGATCCCTGCCTTCTAGCTCTCCTCTGTGTACCTTTCTTAAATTTACTAATAGAGAGCTAGTAGATTGATTTAGCAGACTTCACTTAAAAAAAAAAGGCTATGACTGAAAGTTTTAAAGAACCATTCTAAGGAAAAAGTGCCTCTGAGAATAGAAACTTTTATTTGGACCTGAGAATAAACTTAACTTTTTATTTTATGTTGGTGTATAGTCGATTAATAAGGTTGTGATCATTGCAGGTGAGCAGCAGAGGGACTCAACCATCCATATACGTGTACCCATTCTCTCCTAAGTCCCTGCCATCCCGGCTGCCACATAACACTGAGCAGTCCCGTGTACCGTACAGTGGGTCGTTGTTGGTTATCCATTTTAAATAGAGCAGCGTGTACATGGCCATCCCAAACTCTCTAAGTAGCCTTCCCCCCATTCACCTCCATTAAGATATTTTATTTCTAAAAAGTCCTATTTAGGGAAGAGAAAAAGAAAAGCAAGGACCTATACATCAGGCAGCCTTTTGCACTATGAAATAATGCCCCATATAGAAAGTACCTTTCTTTGAGATTACAGGAACAGTGTTAATGTTGAATGCCATAAAACTATGTTGCATTATGAACAGTGGAAATAGAAGGTGAGGTAGGCTTCAAATAGAGAAAACAGGAAATGAGTCTCTCCACCAAACGTGGCCTCACTTGGTGGTGGTCACAGATTCTGTTCAGATGCCCTGCTATGATTACTGGTTTGTCCTGAGAAAGTTTCTACCTCACAAAAATTGAAGAAACAATTGGATTTGGTGTTTTAGTGCTCAACTAAAGATTTTGGTCTTCTGGGTCATAATCCCTCTACTCCAGTTTTAGTTTATTGTCATCTCTTATATGTTGCTTTCTGATGCATTTGTTTGAGTACAGAAAATTAAAAATAAGAGGAGGATCTAAGGTAAAAGTTCATATAGGCTACCCCAATTTTGTTCTTATGTGCGGAAAATAATTTTAAGTGGTAAGTCAAGGAATCGAATTAAACTGACTTTTATTTGGTTATAGTGGTATAAAGCTGCCCCGACATGGAATATAAACGAGATCCTCCTTCATAAAGACCCAGAGGTCTGCTTTATAAGCCTGTCTCATTGCTAGGAAACCCTGTGGACAGAGGAGCCTGGTGGGCAGCAGTCCATGAGGTCACAGAAGAGTCGGACACGACTCAGCGGCTAAACAACAACAACAAAGTTCTGTGGTTGCCTTGTATGAGTGCATAGTCTAGAGCAGCAGTCCCCACGCTTTTTGGCACAAAGGAGCAGTTCTGTGGAAGCCAGCTTTCTCATGAATGAAGTGAGGGGGAGGATGGTTTCAGGATAAGTCAAGTGCATTACATTTACTGTGTACTTTATTTCTATTATTATTATGTTGTAATATATGAATGAGATGATTACACAGCTCATCATAATGCAGAATAAGATCACCAGGCATTAGATTTGCATAAGGAGCACCCACCCTAGACCCCTCCCACGCGACGTTCACCGTGGGATTCAAGTTCCAATGAGAATCTGATGCCACCACTGGTCTGGCAGGAGGCAGAGCTCAGGCGGTGATGCCAGCGATGGGGAGCGGCTGTAAATACAGATGAAGGTCCTCCTTGCCTGTCCACTGCCCACTTCCTGCTACGTGGCCCTGCTCCTAGCAGGCTGTGGGCTGGTACAGGTTGAAGACCAGGGTCTGGGGACCCCAATCTATCCTATCAAGCCACGGTATCCCTTACTGAGTGGCTGGCACACAGGGAGAGACTCAGATGCACTTTCTGGAGCAGCAGTTCTCGAGTTCTGGGTGCCTGTAAGAAGCACCTGCAGCGCTTGTTGAGAAAAGGGATTCCCAAGGCTCCTCTCGCAATGGGTCCAGGTTGGGGCCCAGGAAACTGGCTTCTTGTACAGGTGCCTGGAGCCGGGGAGTGGAGCGAGTGCTGATGCCCTGATCACCCTCGAAGGACACTTTCCCAGAGCAGGGCTTTATTTCATATAAGAACCGAAGGCTCTGTGCTTGGCGTGGCGTCGGACCCAGGACTGCATTTAATTATTAGCAATTTTTACTACTAACATCCTCGGAACGCGGGAAGCCCGCGGCGGCCGTCGCCGGTGTCCCCGCACCTCACACGGTTGTCTTTGCCCGTGCAGAGGAACCTCACGGAGTACTTCGTGGCCGTGGACGTGAACAACATGCTGCAGCTCTTCGCCAGCATGCTGCATGAGAGGCGCGTCATCGTCACGTCCGGGAAGCTCAGCACCGTGAGTACCGCCCCCCCATGTTCTGCGCATGCTCCACAGGCGCCATCTGCATGCCCTCCTGACACGCGGCTTTAGTCCGCCGCCGAAGCACAAAGGTCTGATTTATGGAAGGCCTTCGCGGGTGCATTAAGTCAGGTTAATTATTTCTTCTTATCAGAAGATGAGGGGGGGTTTTTTCTTTCTTTTTTTCCTTTTTCACTCCCTGGAGTTCATTTTAGTGCCTTCTACCATATAAAGAATTCTTAAGAGCTATTATGAGATCTTTATTATTCACTTGAGGCTCTTTTTCCATTGGAGCCACTTGAAAGAAATCAAGGGGCCAGGATAATAGCGGCTACCCTAACCTGGTAATAGGTGGATTCATCTTTGTTGCCAAGTCGTGGTGGGGGAGTGGATGCTATAATAGTTCTGATTTGGAGAAGCTCTTCAGACTGATAATAACTTAAAAGTCAAAATAGCTTTTTTTTTATTTTCCAAATCACAGGTTTTATGCCACTCACCGAAATGTTCTTTGGAAGGTCTTCATTACTGCGGAAAAGGGAGGGAGAATAGAATGAGTTTTCTCGGGTCCTAGAAAAATATTCAAAAGTATTTTTCTAGATTTCCTAATCTTTTTTCTTTAAGCATTAAAATTAAAATTTTTGACATAAAAATGTAATATAAATATAATTATAGTTGTGGGTAATAAGAGTTATTTATTAAAAAACATTAATGTCCCATGAATTACCTTCCTTACAAATTTAGCTGATAAAAATAAGATACTATTTTTATGTTTTAGAACCTGGTAATACAAATAAAAACCTTATTTTATAATGTTTTAGTGTCTTAGAACAGAGGGAGCTTCAGGATCTCTCTAGGATACCTATTTAGGATATAACAATGAGAAAGGTTAGCATCACTAACTGCATAGACGTGAGTCTGAGCAAACTCTGGGAGATGGTGAAGGACAGGGAAGCCTGGTGTGCTGCAGTCCACAGGGTCTCAGAAAGCTGGTCATGACTTAGAGACTAACAGAGTGACAAAGGTATTTTCAAAGAAGGGTTAAATGGCCACCTCAAGGCCAAGTAGACAGCTGGAGACAGACAATGTGAAACTGGGTCTCCTGATTCTAATTTTAGGTTATTTGCATTATTCTAAAGTCAAAGAAATAGTTTTGAGATATTGATATGCTCACTTTTCAAAAAGTTGAAAATATATGCTTTTATGTACTGAGAAACTCCTGACATGCATTTGAAGGAGTAAGTGTGCAGAAATGTTATGGTTTTGTTGAGAATAAGTGCCAGTCTGTGGTGTAGGTAATTATTTACATTTTCTTAATGTGATACTAAGAAATTCAGTCTGAATTATTTGATGTTTTTTATAATATATTTGCTTTTCTGCTGTTTTTAACTTACCACTGAGGTAAAAAAAAAATTCTTATTTATCCTTTTTGTCTCTTCCTCCTCATCAGTTTTTTTTCAACTAGTTTTTTTTTTTGGTTACCCTGACATTTCCTGCATTTATTTATTTATTTTTGGCCACACCGCACAGCTTGTCCTCATCACTCTTTTAAAGCCAAGTTTTCTAAAATTATAAAGAATACTTCTACATGGAGATTGTCCTAAAGATTAAGGAGATTGTATTTTGAACACCTGGGAACCAAATTCTTGTCAAGGTTAATTCATGTAGCACATTTATTATGTGCCTACTGTGTGTTTGGCACAGTCCACGCACTGAGGCCTCAGCAGTGAGCAAAGTGAAGTCCAAACACTCTTGAAGCTGAGTCCACCTGATGTGGCAGATAGAGACATGAGTGAGCGGGTAGCTGTCAGGCCACGTGGTGCTGAGAGCTGGGGATAAGGGAGAAGAGCTTGGGGGGGGCGGTTGGAAAGTGAGAGCAGGTTCCAATGACGTGCCCGGCAGTCCGGGAAGGCCCTTCTGGGAGGCAGGACCTCTCCCGTGAGAGCTCCGAAGGCGGCATCGGAGTAAGCTGTGTGAGTGAACGCGGTCTGTATAGGGACACGTTAGAAATACATCTGATGGGACACAGTATGGAGATCCGTCAGAAGACCAAAACCAGACCCAGGGTGCAGTTAGCAGTGACACTCCCAGGCTTTTATCTGAAGAAGACAAAAAACACCAACTCAAAAAGGTGTCTACATGCCTGTGTTCATTGTAGCGTTATTCACAGTGCCAAGATAAGCAACTTAGGTGCCCCTTAGAGATGAGTGAATAAAGAAGGTGAAGTGTGTATATAGATATATATATACACACACACACATGCATACAATGGAATATTTCTCAGCCATAGAAAGGAATAAAACCTTGCCATTTATAATAATATGGGTGGACCTGGAGGGTATTATGCTAAGTGAAATAAGTCAGACTGAGAAAGGCAAATACCCTATGCTCTCACTTATGTGTTGAGTCTAGAAAACAAAACAAACATAACAAAACAAACAGACTCACAGATACAGAGAACAAACAGGTGGTTGTCAGAGGTGAGGGGGGTGGGAGGAGGGTGGGTGAAATAGGTGAAGGGGGGATCGAGGCACCAACTTCCAGTTATAAAATGAACAAGTCACAGGAATGTGACGTACAGCAGAGGGAATATACTCAGTGATATTACAACTTTGGTGACAGATGGTACCTAGAGTTACTAGTGTGGATCATTTTGTAACATACAATGCTCAGTATCATGTCCAACTCTTCATGACCCTATGGACTGTAGCCTTGCTCAGTCATGTCCCAACTCTTCACAACCCCATGGACTGTAGCCCCGCCAGCTCAGTCTATGGGATTCTCCAGGCAAGATTACTGGAGTGGGTTGTCATTTCCTCCTTCAGGAGACATTCCCGGACAGGAATCAAACCTGCATCTCTTGCATCTCCTACATCGTCAGGTGGATTCTTTACCACTGAGCCATCTGGGAAGCCCTTTGTCATGTATAAAAATCCCAAATCACTATATTGTACTCATGAAACTAATATAGTATAATATTTAAAGTCAGTTATACTGCAATTAAAAAGAAATCTGTATACATATAAATATTTTGTGAAAAAACTTTTTGGTAAGTAGTATAAAATACTGGTGTTTCTTTCCACTGTAATTTATAAACACCTCTTAATGTCTAGGTAACTCTTCTTCCACTCAGCTTTTGACTTTCAACCTGGGAGCATGGGAGTTGCAGTAGTTGTAATCTCATAGGGTTGCTTTAAAGATTATGGGTATGTGTACATGCACACACACATGCACATATGTACGTATGAAGTGCTTAGAGTTTTGTCTGTATAAGATTAAATGACCATTAGCTATAAATTTAAAATAGACTGGATCTGCAATTTACAGTAAAAATTAACATGCCTGTCCTTTTACTTCATTTGAATTAAAAAATAATTATTTTATGTTATTTTATTTATTATGTTATTAATTATAACAATATTAATTATTAACTATAAATATGATAAATATCAATTATAGTATTAATTATTAAATATAACAAACTATTATACTATTAATATTAATAAATATTATTAATTTAATGATTAAATAAATTGTTATTATATAATTTGATTAAATAAATTAATAAAGGCTCGGTATTAGGGAGTTGTTTCTTATATTCGAGGTAAACTTAATACCAGTTGTTTATGAGAGTTCCTGAAAACTTGGTGGTGGTGTCAGCTCTCAGTTAACAGCTTCGCTTTGGTTCACTGTCTGGGGCAGGAGGACTGATAAAAGAAACATAATTCAAGCTTGCTTTTATGATCTCCTCACCCTTCTTACATGGAGGAAGCTGCATTGAATCTAGCTTAACAGATTTCATGCACACACACACATATACACACACATGCTGTAAATTCCAGACATAGTAATGTTTAAGGTCAAAGACTAATACCATAACATAAATTAGAAATAAGCTATTTTTTAGAAAGAGTTTAGTGAAATCTCTGAAACAACCAAGGAAGGAATATTTAATGTATCAGTGAATTGAGGTTAAAAGACTGCTGTCCGTGAAGCTTTTTACATTCTTATAGGATTGTGTATACCATAAAAACTATTATGTACTTCATGCAAGAAATTGTGTTTTGCCTATTTTCAGTTGTTTTTAAATCGATGACCAGATTGTTAATTTCTAGAAGAACACATGTTAAGTTGTCTTCACATATATAATTTTATTATAGTTTTGGGAACTTTGGATTTACATTTTGATGGTTATAATTGTATTAGAATGGTGTTTGTCAACTTTATAGCTTTCTGGGGTTTTACTGGTGATCTACTGGCAGACAATGAGCTATTTGAGGACCCTTTCCTTTAGGTATTGTTTGAGGTCAAAATTATAATTTGTAATTATCTTTTTAGTGATAAACTTTAAAGAAACAGTTTAGTCTTGAGATATGTTAGCAAAAGTATCAGGAATATTGTTTATGTTTTAATAGCTTTTCACAGGTTTTTCCTCCTTTATGTTAAGATGTATCTTGCTAGGGTGCACTGCTGTACTTTTCTGTGTCTTTGAGTTGAATGGATCAGGACGTGGTCGGTCGTGTGTTCATCCTTCTGACGGGCGTGTTATCCGGTACCCAGGGAAGGGTTCCTGGCAACCCTGAGCAGGAACACTGATTTTGTGCATGCCGTGGGCAGACCCTGGAGGCCCAAGCCCCAAGCGAACAGCAGACAAGCGAGAGCGCGTCGGCCCAGAGTCTCCTGATTCAGAGCAAAGGAATAAATCATGACATTACAAGGGGTCATCCGCTGACTTACTGCTGTTTTGTGACCGGAGGTAGAGAGAGATTGCTGTTTAAAGCCGTGGCATCGGCTCTCAACTCAGCCAGGCGTGAAGCCTTGTCGTGTACTCTGTAGCTGTGCCCGCCCAGACTTCCCCTAACTAGTCAGCTGGGGCCGCGCGTTCTGTCTGCGGCACCGGGCTGCCCGGCGTCTGACAGCAGCCCTCTCGTCATCCTGTCAGTGATGTGTTAACCGGAGTGTGTCCTCGTGGCCTGCAGAAGCAGGTACAAGCGACACTC